GTTCATCACCACTAAACCAGTATTATACGAAATGCTGAAAGGTATCCTTTAAGAAGAGGAAGAAGAAAAAGGTAAAGATACAAATTGTGAACAACAAACATGCATCTATCAACAAGTGAATCTAAGAATCAAGTGAATAAATAATCTGATGTACAGAATGAACTGGTGATTATAATGAATCAGGGACATAGAAAGGGAATGGACAGACTATTCTTGGGGGGAAAAGGGGAATGGGAGATGCAGGGAGAGACTGGACAAAAATCGTGCACCTATGGATGAGGACAGTGGGTGAGGAGTGAGGGCGGAGGGTGGGGCGGGAACTGGGAGGAGGGGAGTTATGGGGGGGGGGAAAGAGGAACAAATGTAATCTGAACAATAAAGATTTAATAAAAAAAAGAACATAAAAAAATATTTAAAAAAACAAAAAAATAATATAAACATCTCCAGAAAATATTAGAGAGGAAAACACTTTCTAACTCATTTTATGAGATCAGCATTACTCTGATACCAAAACTAGACAAAGACATTACAAGAAGACTATGGATCAATATATCTTAGTAACATTAACGCAAAAATCCTCAGTAAAGCATTACTAATCAACTCCAGCAATGTATCAAAATAATAGAATATCATAACCAAGTTGGTTTTATCCCAGAATGCAAGGTTAGTTCAACATTTAAAAATCCATAGATAAATACTACTGCAAATATTTATGAAAAAAAAATTTGTTAATTAAATAAACCTTTTTCAAACAAACAAAAAATCAATAGATATATTAGTGAGATCATGACAGGAGTGGGGAGGGGGTCAACAGGAGGAAAAGGGACATAAAAAAAAATAATACCATTGTGTAGGTGTGAAGTGGTACCTCATGATGGTTTTAATTTGATTTTCCCTACTGATTAGTGACGTTTCATGTGCTTATTCACCATTCTTAGATCTTCTTTGGAGAAATATCTGTTCAGAGCCTTTGCCCGTTGTTGAATTGGGTTATATGCTTCTTGTTGTTGTTGGATTGCGGGCACTCTTTACATATTCTGGATAGTAATCCCTCACCAGATATATGCTTTGCAAATATTTTGTCCCATCCTGTGGGCTGTCTAAAGTCCTATTGTTTAAGCTATCAAACTTACGGTAATATGTTACAGAAATTCATCCTGTGCTCTTCCTCCCATGCCTCTACTGGACCAAGAACATGTATGGTGTGTACACACACACAGAGACACACATGTGCACACACACACACACACACACACGCACCAAGACATTACAGCTATTGTCGAGGAGGGCGAATGCATGTTCCTCTCCACGTGCATCAGGGAGAGTGCTGGGCAGATCCGCCTGATTTTTCTCCATCTGTAAAGGCGTCCCCAAGGTGCTTCCCTGCTTCTCGGAGATTCTCAGCAGCTTTTGCATCCTTTTCCCGAGCAACTTTC